TGGAGCACCCATAACTTCTGAAGGCAAGTTATTCCATTGGTTAATTGCTCTCACCATTAGGAAATTTCTTCATAGTTCTAGGTTGCTTCTCTCCTTGATTAATCTCCAACCATTGTTTCTTGTGTTGCCTTTTGGTGCTTTGGAAAATAGTTTGACCCGCTTAAATATTGGAACAGTACTATCATGTTGTCCCTAGTCCTGCTTTTCATTACTAGACATACCCAAATTCTGCAACCGTTCTTTGTACTTCAGCTTCATCATTTGTACTTCTTCATTTTTCTTGCTGATTCTATCTCTCTATTGATGCAGCCCAGTATTGCATTAGCTTTTTTGGCTGCTGCCTCACATTGTTGACTCATATTTAAGTGATTGTCCACTAGCACTCCAAGTTCCCTCTCGCAGTTATTGACAGTTACTGGCATAAAGGGATAGAATCAAAATGATATGAACTTCTAGTACCCCTTTACAAAGCCTTAATAAGATCAACCTTGCAATACTACATCAAATTCTGGTCACTACAATATAAAAAAAGATGTTGAAGCTCTGGAAAGATTGCAGAGAAGAGCAATAAAAATGATTAGATGAGTGGAGGCTAAAATTTACAATGAACGGTTGCTATTTTTAGGAGCCTTTCAATATTGGAACAGTGCTATCTAGACCTTCTTTTCATTATACTAGACATACTCAATTCCTGTAATCTTTCTTCGTATTTTTGTCCAATATCCTACACATGTCCACGACATATGATAATATGACCCAGGTGTCTGGTGGCATTTCCAACATTTGGCTGATTTATCTTTAAACATCCTTGCCAACCTCGCCGGGGCTAAATGCCATCTATAAAACACTTTATACAAGTTTTCTTTATATGCAGTTGACATTGTTAACTTATAATTTCTATCCCATAATTTCTGCCATTTATCTAGTTCTATTGTATAACCAAAGTTTTTTGCCCATGCTATCATTTTCTCCTTCACTTGTTCCTCTTTTAATTTAATACCCAACAAATAAATATACAAACAAATAAATATACAAATAAATATATTTTTATCAATCTTCTTCTGTCCTGTTAGTATCTTATTCAATTCTGTCAGTTCTCTATAGAAACCATATAATTTAGCATCTTTTTCATATCTAGATTGTATTTGCACGTGTGAATACCAAACCACATCGATCCCTTGCTCACCCAATTCTTATTTAGTTTTAAGCTCACCCTTTTCATTCAAAATATCTTTATATCTAATGATATTTCCCATATTGAAAATGTTTGGATGAATAAGTGCTTCCATTGTCAAAAGCCAAAGTGGTATTTTCAAATAGTGCTGTTCTCTGATTTTCTCCCATACTAACAATAAAGCATTTCTTATATGTCTTTGAAACTAACCATGTATCTTGTTTTTTCCATACCATGGGAAGGCATGCCAACCCAATTGCAAATCATGTCCCTTCAGAGTCAATAATCTTGTATTCCTCAGTGCAATCAATTCTTTCATCCATGTTAACACCGCGGCCTGGTAGTATAATTCCCAGTTTGGCAGTCTAAAACCTCCTCTTGTTCTTGTATCCTGTAATATTTTAAAATTAATTCCTGCTTTTTTCCCTTGCCATATATATTTTAATATTATTTTGTTAAGATCCTCAAAATATATTTTCCAGCTTTATCGGGACTGTTTGCAACAAATACAATAATCTCTGTAATATATTCATTTTAATTGTAGCTATCCTTCCCATTAGCGATAGTTGCAGACCTTTCCATTTTTCCAAATCTACCTTAATTTTTTGTATCAATTTATAATAATTATCTTCTTTAATCGTTACACATTTTGCTGTTAATTGGATCCCTATGTATTTTACCTTCTTGGTAATCTGAATATCTAATCTCTTCATTAACTCTTTTTTCTGCTTATCTGTGATATTCTTTACTAAAATTTTGGGTTTTTTCTCTGTTTATTTTCAATCCTGCCACAACTGAGATCAAGTGAGGTCCTAATACTACTCTATAAAGCCTTAGTAAGACCACACCTACTGCATCCAGTTTTGGTCACCACATTATAAAAAGATGTTGAGACTCTAGAAAAAGTACAGAGAAGAGCAACCAGGATGATTTGGGGATTGGAGACTAAAACATATGAAGAACGGTTACAGGAACTGGGCATGGCTAGTTTAGTGAAGAGAAGGACTAGGGGAGACATGATAGCAGTGTTCCAATATTTGAGGGGCAGCCACAGAGAGGAAGGGGTCAAGCTATTTTCCAAGGCACCTGTAGGCCAGACAAGGAATAACGGATGGAAACTGAACAAGGAGAGATTTAACCTGGAAATAAGGAGAAACTTGACAGTGAGAACAATCAACCAATGGAAAAGCTTGCCCTTGGAAGTTGTGGGAGCGTCATCACTTAATCTGTTATCTCCATGATCTTCTATTTTTTTCATTAGCTTAAACCTTGTTTCTTGTGGATCTTCTAAGATAAAAACTAAATCATCTGCAAATACCTTTAACTTATACTCTTCCTTTTTAATTTCCATACCATTTATCTCTCTATCTTGTCTAATATTTCTATTCAGTACTTCCAGAGTCAATACAAATAATAATGGCAACAAGGGACATCCTTGTCTTGTACCCTTCTTAATATTAACACTTTCAGTCATATCTCCATTTACCATCACTTTTGTGGTTTGTTTGTAATATATTGCCTTAATCATTTTAATAAATCTCTCCCCAAAGTCCATCTCTTTTAATTGTGCAAATATAAACTGCCAGTTCACATCGTCAAACACCTAAAAAATCAACATCATTTGCTTCTCTGGATGCACTTCATAGTACTCTAGTGTATTCAAAATTATTCTATTATCTTTAATTTGTCTCTTAGGTAAAAAGCCATTTTGATCTGAGTGTATAAACTGATTTAAAAATCTCTGTAGTCTTTCTGCAATAATTGATGCAAATATGTAATAATCCGTATTCACTAGTGATATCAGCCTATAATTTTTAGTCTGTTGCAAGTCTGAGTCTTCTTTTGGTATGAGAGTAACATAAGCTTCCATCCAAGAATTGGGTACCTTCGCCTCTAACAATAAATCATTGAACACTTCTAACTTTACATTACTTAAAGAGTCTTGCAAGTCTTTATATAATTCTGCCGGTAGTCCATCCGGGCCTGGTGTTTTGCCATTCTTTTGTCTTTTAATTGCTTCCGTAAATTCCATCATTGTTATTCTTTCTTCTAATGCTGTTTTAACTGTTTCTGGTACTGTTGGTAATTTTGCTTTTTGTAGGCATTGTTTTATTTTATCTTCTGAAATTGTCTCTTGATCATATAATTTGTCATAATATTTTGGAATTCTTTTTTTATCATCATTTTGATAGTGGTATCCCTTCATCATCTATTGGTTGGTCAATCAATTTCTTTTCTTTCTCCTTTTTCAATTTGTATGCCAGCCATATTTCTGGTTTATTTGCATTTTTAAAAAAGTTTTGCTTAGCGCTTTTGATATTTTGTGCTAGTTCTTCTTTTTCCATCAAATTCAACTTACTTTTTTAAAAAATTTTAAAAATTTTAAAATTTTGATTTTTTATCTTCTTTTTTGTGGATCTTTCTGTAGTTCAGTCTCTAATCTCTTGTATTCTTTTTCTAGTTTCATTTGTGCTTATCTCCTCTTTTTATTTCTCTTTCCCACATGTTATAATTAATCCTCTAATATACACCTTTGCGGTATCCCATAAATTTTGTAGTGAGGTTTCTTTTTTTCTATTTTCTTTAAAGAAAAAAACCAATTCTCTTTCCATAAACTAAGTATATTCCTTTTCTTTTAATATTGTTTGATTCATTGTCCATCTTGGTTTCTTTTTTTTGTCCTTTCCATATAGCTTTATTCGGGTTATGATCTGCCCAAATGCTTGTTTCAATATTTATCTCTTGTATGTTAGATCTTAGCTCTGCTAATAACCACATCATATCTATTCTGGACCAGGACATATGTCTATTTGAATAAAATGAATATTGTTCTTTCTTGGGATAAGTCTCTCTCCAAACATCTTGAATACTTAGTTCTTCCACCATTTTAAAGAGGGCTTTTGGAAGTATTTTCCTAGCATTCTTATTTGTTTTTCTAGTTTTATAATCCAGTTTTGAGTCTACAATTGCATTAAAGTCTCCTATTATACATATACTTTGGTACTTCAATTCTATTATTTTCGTATGCAACCTGGTTGGTATCCACATTGTTTCCACACTGAGTCCACAATTGCATTAAAGCCTACTAGAGAGTTTTAGGACCATAGCCCTGTGGAAAGTTGAAAAACTTTCTAGAAGTACGCAAATGACTTCCACAACATGATGCCAACAACATGCTAAGTTGGAGAACTATACTTTTTTTAAGTTAAAGGAAAACGTAGAGAAATTTCCATTTCAGGCAATTCAGGCATTGAAAACATTAATGGAAAGTAGCTGGCCTATAATGAGGAATAGAAAATCTGAAGCCCAGGAAAATAAAATGCTAAGAGAACAACCAGGAAAGTAGATTTTCCCCTCTCAGGAGGACTTTATAAAAGGGGGAAACAGTCTTAATTTTATATTTATCACAGTGCATTTATGTTTTCCTCCTTGAAGGCTTGCTGTAGGCTAGATAATAGGAAAGTTCCAGCTGATAGCAACCAGACAGACGTTTAGTTAATTTGGACAGCAAGCTAGGATCAGAGAGATTTGCTGCAGTACAGAGAATATTTTATTTATGGACTGAAATCTAAATTGTGTAAATTTTTTCTGGTGTCTGTGCTTATTTAAGAATCTAGAGAAAATACCAATGACAAAAATAAAATTGACATTAAAATAAAATGGACATCCACATGTATCTAAAAACTAAAAGATTAAATTAGATGAGACCTGGAAATCTGATATAGAAGCATGTGGACTAAAATTTACAATGTACTGAAAGTAATCACTTTTAACAGGTTAAGGCCCAAAAGAATCAATGCTGGTTTCCAGCACTATTTTTACTTACCTTGGATGAAAGCAGCATCCAGAAAGCCAATCTGTGTGACCTTCACCCTTCAGGATAATGTTCCCATTAGGAAAGGCCCACATTTTCCATAAGTGATCATCACTTCCAGTGACAACAATATCTTTTCTTGGATGTAAAGCCAAGCTGTAAGGAGTAAATAGAGAAAGTGAAGGTTAAAACTGAACAAAAAGGAGCATATTGATTTGGGTGTAGTTTGGAATTCAGGGTCATGTTCCTTTCTGGTAAATATAGTAGTTTGCTCCAAAGGTTGCTAATTTGAGAAAGTGAAGATGGGTTGGGCTTTTTACATCTAAAGATCTTCTGTGTTGATCTCATTTCTAGCTTTGTTCCCATATTATGATATGTCATGCTAGAAAAAGCCTTTTTGAGAGCAGAAGTTAACTCAGCAAAGAATCGGAAACAGAACCTAAGTAATGTTAGTTTCTGAGCTTTTTCAGTCCAGTTTTTTTTAACTATTACCATTTTTTATTCAGAGAACAAAAACTAATACCAGTTCCTTTTTTTTTCTTGGTCCTACTGTTTATTGGAATCTGTTTTTGGCAGATATATGCACAGACATACATTATAAAAGTAGCCCTTTTATAAAATTAATATTTTCTTTTCACACACTGTTACACATAGAAATATACATGTAACTTCCCTGTAACAAAAATAGCAAAAGGGGAAAATTATCACAATTTTGTCAGAACAGTAAACAGAAAACTGTTGCTCTTAATGTAATAACATATGTGCTTCAGAAGATAACATGAAATGATGAATAAAGGCATTTGAATTACTATACAGCATGTAGGAAACACACTACAATTAATTGGAAAACTAATTCTGCACCAAGTGAGAAATCAAGTAGATTCCTAAGCAAGCTAGCTGACAACTTTGTTATCCAAAAGATAGAGGAGGGAACTAGAGGGATACCCATACTAGACTTAATTCTTACAAACAGAGAAGAAGTGATAGAGGGAGTTGAACCTGCAGGAACCTTGGGTGAGAGTGAGCATGTCATACTAGAATTCAACATAACACAAACACAAGCAATAGAACATAATGACACCAGAGTCTTAGATTTTAAAAGAGATGATTTTAATAAACTCAGAGAGAACTTGGGAAAGATTGCTTGGATTAAAGTCCTAAAGATGAAAACAACTCAAGAAGCTTGGGAAACTCTGAAAAGTACAATCATAAAAGCCCAGACCAGCACAATACCACTGAGAAAGAAAAACAAGAAATCCAATATGGAACCAGCATGACTGGACAAAGATCTCTCTGACAAATTGAAAGACAAAAAGGACAAGTACAAAAAATGGAAAGAGGGACACAAAACTAAGGCAGAATATCAGCAGATAGCCAGAATCTGCAAAGACGAAGTCAGAAAAGCAAAGGCTCAGAACAAACAAAGACTTACAACAAAAGTCAAAGATAATTTTAAAAAGTTTCTTCCAACATATAAGTAACAAGAAAAAAATCAAGAAAACAGTCGGTCCACTAAAGAGAGAGGACGGCAAGGAAGTAACAGACAACAGAGAGAAAGCATTCTTCAACATAGTGACTAAATTAGTAGACCAGCGAAATACTGTGGGCATAATATACTTAGACTTCAGCAAGGCATTCGACAAAGTAGACCACAACCTCCTTCTTGGTAAGCTAGAAAAAAGTGAGATAGATAGCATCACCTTCAGATGGATTCGCAAATGGCTGACAAACCATACTCAACAAGTAGTCCTTAATGGGTCTAAATCTACATGGAGGGATGTAAGTAGTAGGGTGCCACAAGGTTCCATCTTAGGCCCAGTATTCTTCAATATCTTCATAAATGACTTTGATGAGGGAATAGAAGGAGAACTTACCAAATTTGCAGATGATACTAACCCGGCAGGAATAACTAACACCCTAGAAGATAGGCTCAAGATCCAGATGGATCTTGACAGACTTGAATACTGGGCCCTATCGAACAAAAGGAAATTCAATGTAGAGAACAGTAAAGTCTTACACTTAGACAAGAAAAACCAAAATACGCATATAGATTGGATGAAATCAGGCTTAATAGCAGTAACGGTAAGAGGGAACTTGGAGGCTCAGTGGACAACCTGTTAAATATGAACCAGCAGTGTGCAGCAGCAGCCAAAAAGCCAATGCAATCCTAAATTGCATTAACAGAGGGATACAATCAAGATCAAGTCAGGTACTAATACCACTTTATAAAGCCTTGGTAAGACCACACCTAGAATACTGCATCCAGTTTGGGTCACCACACAATAAAAAAAGATGTTGAGGCTCTTGAAAAAGTGCAGAGAAGGGCAATCAGGATGATTAGGGAACTGGAGACTAAAACATATGAAAAACGGTTACAGGAACTGGGCCTGGCTAGTCTAGTGAAGAGAAGGACCAGGGGAGACATGATAGCAGTGTTCCAATATTTGAGGGGCTGCCACAGAGAGGAAGGGGTCCTGCTATTGTCACGTCCCCACGGCATGCTGGAACCGTGACACCGAGCATTCCACTGCGTCTGAATATTCTACCGTGTTAGGAAGTACCTGCTAGCCAACCGACACGGGGTTCGGAATTGCCGATGGAGATTGACAACGAGCCTTGATGACGTCAGACACTGAACTATCACAAGTCGTGGGCGACTATCGGAGAACGATGAACATGCTGACCATTAAAATAATGACATCGGGGGGTGGATATTCACTGGGCGGGCACAGGGGGATTGGTGGGCTATGGAGAGTATAACGTGGCGAGGGTATGGTAAAGGAGGGTGGATAATTAACGGACGAATGCACAGTATCTGGGGGTTACATAGTGACCAGAAATTAAGCAGTACCGTTCACCGGACAGTGGATAAATTCATTACATTATTATCTGGTGTATAAATACAGCTCTGGCTGCGAGGTGCGCCAGAGCTGAGTTTACTATCATCTAGATGCTGGTTGTTACCCGAATCCGGAGCAGTATATGGACGAACAAAGACTCATTTTATAGTTGCTATGAGAGCTTTGTTTCCCTTTCTTTCTGGAATTCGGCTGAATAGCTAAGAGCTATTTTCTAAAGCCCCTGTAGGCCAGACAAGGAATAATGGATGGAAACTGAACAAGGAGAGATTTAACCTGGAAATAAGGAGAAATTTTCTGAAAGTGAGAACAATCAACCAATGTAATAGCTTGCCCTTGGAAATTGAGGGAACTTCATCACTTGAGACTTTCAAGAAGAGATTGGACTGCCATTTGTCAGAAATGGTGTAGAGTTTCCTGCTTGGGCGGGGGATTGGACTATGTGAGCTACAAGGTCCTTTCCAACTCTGTTAATCTGTAATCACCAGTTTTGCATAATTTTTAAAATATTATATATTTCTCAAAGACCATCCTTCAGGATCCACCTGAAGATTTATACTCTTTCAGAGTAAAACAAACAAAGCTCATTCAAATACACACACACACACACACACACACACACACACACACTGTGATCATATCAAGAGCAATTGCGTTCTCTTCGCTGATGATGTAAAGCTGTTCAATACCACAGACAATACTGCTACCCTACAAAAAGATCTTGACTATGTATCAGAATGGTCAAACAAATGGCAACTTCAAATCTCAACAAATAAATGCTCTGTCTTACATATTGGCAAAAAAAAATCAGAAAATAAAATACAAGCTGAATAGTCAAGAACTTGTTGATGACCCAAGCTCTGTAAAGGACCTTGGAATACTCACCTCTAATGATCTAAGTGCTAGAGCCCACTGCAACTACATAGCCAAAAAGGCATTAAGAGTTGTTAACCTAATCCTACGTAGCTTTTTCTCTGGTAATATCACACTACTAACCAGAGCATACAAAACATTTGCTAGACCAATACTCGAATACAGTTCATCAGTCTGGAACCCACATTACGTATCTGATATTAGCACAATTGAGAAAGTCCAGAAATATTTCACAAGAAGAGTTCTCCACTCCTCTACTCGTTGTAGAATACCTTATGCCACCAGACTTGAAATTCTAGAACTAGAAAACCTTGAATTACGCCGTCTTCGGTCTGACTTAAGCATGGTATATAAAATCATACATTGCAATGTCCTACCTGTCAGTGAATACTTCAGCTTCAACCATAACAACACAAGAGCACACAATAGATACAAACTCAAAGTAAACCGCACCAAACTTGATTGCAGGAAATACGACTTCAGCAATAGAGTGGTCAATGTCTGGAATACTCTACCCGACTCTGTAGTTTCTTCCCCAAACCCCAAAAACTTTAACCTTAGACTGTCTACTATTGACCTCACCCCTTTCCTAAGAGGTCTGTAGGGGGCGTGCATAAGCGCACCAACGTGCCTACCGTCCCTGTCCTATTGTTTCTCTTATTCTTTTATTTTTCTTATATGTACCCATTTCATGTATTCACAACTATGTATACACTTATACTTATTATCTTGTAAACAATTGGCAAATCAAATCAAATAAATAAATAAATAAATAAGTATATATGTCTATCTGTCTATTCCATGAGTATATTTCTTTCAATCTCAAACTTCAAACCTAATCTTCAAGATTGCCTGGTAAAGGATTCTCTTTTCATGGAGAAGACTGAGGAAAAATAAAAATTGTCTAGCTCTCTACAGTGGTGCCCACAGAAGTTATCATTGGCTTTAAGTGGCAGACATAACTGAATAATTGTAGTTGCAATTAGTGCAGCACAAAAAAAGAGAGAGAGAGGATATTGGTTGCCTGATCTCCCACAAATTTGCAACCAGCAACTGTATAAGATCTTTCTTATTTTTTTTACCTATTTTCTCATCTTCTCTGAGCAGTTGCTACATGAATTCTTGTTTCTTTCTTAAATTTTTAAACATAATCTGCACTTTCTTGTTATTCTTTGCCAACCTCTGTTCAATCTGAGCTTTACTTTTTCTGACATTATATCTATAACTCCAGATACCTGCTTGTTCCAGGTTATTTTATTACACTTAGATTTAGTTTTCATTAAAATCAAGAATTTTAACATCACATGGTATTTTGTTTGTAAGCTGCCTAAGTTGTCTCTAGAATTTTAATAAATGAATTAAAATATTTTCTCTCATGTTTCGCTTTTTTCTAATGCTCAAATTCTTAATGTGAAACATATAATT